TGTATTTCGCTGATTACTAACACGAACTTACAAAATATTATGCTGCAGATAGAGTAGAGTCGTGGCTACATTTTAGTAAAAAGAAAACGTTTTCATCTCTCTTAGGTCAGGAGCTATTGATATTGTATGAAAAAGAGGTAAATCGCTTATATCTCACGAACTATCTAGTAAAAGTGGTCCAAACTTGGTGGGTGATCAGCATTCGATAAGAGCTATGTCCACACAAAATTAGAAGTCTCTAGCTATCATGGTTCTTGAGTTACAAGGGGGGTCGGTACTTTTGACAAGTACTGTATATTTGCTTTTCGTTAAATAAGGAGTTTCTTACTATTTAGTCGTTTGTTGAATAGTTAATTGAAACATAGTTTTACCTGAAATTTTCTTCTCCGCGATACCATACCTAGTAGTAAAAAGAATCTTTTTATTAATTCATTTCTTCCATTCCAATTTATTAGTGACAAAAAAAAGAAAAACTCAATATTTATATTGTTAATTACAACACCAAACAAGTACATTAATTTTAAATACTATCTACAACTTCAATTTCTGTTTCATTTGGTTTTCTTTTTCGTTCTTCCAGTACCAGTCCACCAAACTCAACATATTTTTCAGTTATATTTGGCGATACGAGTGTATGCATATCTGTCTCAAATATTGGCGGATAATGCCCAGACTCTCCCGTGGGCAAATATGTACAGAAAGCAAAACTATCCTGAATAACTTGTGGTCGAAAATAAGCATGTGTATTTGAATAACGACGATAAATTTTCCATGGATTTGGTTTACTAATACGTGAATTTAACTCTACTGGATATTTAATATTGGGATTGTATTTGATTGCATTTGAATGAAGAAAAATGATATCACCTTTGTGGTCATGCTGAATCATTGTATGACCACAAAAGTTAATTCCAGGTAGGCGAGTACCTATTAAAAATTGAAAAGATAAAGCTTATTAGTGAATCATCAACCTTTATTAGTTGACTTACCATTTCTGTCAATTCTAGTATAAAGAAAACCACCTATAGCCAAGAATTTTCGAACAAAATGGAAGGGGACTTTTAACACTTTCCACGCTAATCGAAACGTGTCTTTATCGCCTAGCCAAATATTTTGTATAACTGGATCTCTGTTGAAGTGAACGGCCAAATTCAATGGTTTCCATGCCTTTTTTTTATCAATAAGAATTTGACCACTTTCTTGTTCGTAATCTTCTTGACGACATTCCAAATCCAATACACGCCAGATAGGGCTCATAGACGATCCTATCCAAAAGTCTAAACAAAGGAGTGACCAGTTATGGCATCTTCTTGACAGGAACTTTACGTACCTGGCCAAAACATGGCTGTTGATTTCTTATAGTGTTGTGTATGAAATAGATACGTTGGATCTTTGATTGGTATATTATCAGAGTCTAACCACAAAACATGCTCAAATCGTGACTGAATGATAGCATTCGGTTTAATGGCATAACGTGATAAATTACGGCTTTCATTGTCAACAACTTGGTCGATAAATTTTACTTGGACGTCGGATACCGTCTCTAATATGAAAACTTCAGTTTCATTCAGTTCATCTAAAAATACATAAAGAAAACTTTATGGATTAGTCACATTTTCTGAATCTTTGTCACACCTGAAAATGAGTATATTTCTATCGGTAATTGACAATTTAACCATCTTAATAGTTTGATTTGAGCTAATGTTCGTTGAAAAGTTCCTATATATCCACTATTTGCTGATGTTGAAGTTACAATGCCATAACCAGAATAATTTCCATGAGGATAATCTGGAATTGTTTTAATGAACGATTGCCAATTCAGTTTTGTTTGTTCAAGTTCTGTATCATTGAATTTTTTCCAAAAGGGTAACGCATTTTTGTACATCGAGTTTGATGGTACTTCGGGACATTTTGTGTAAGTTTTTTCCTCAAAGGGCTGCAGTAGCTCGAGTTGAGCTTGTAACTGTAACCACTCAGATTCACTGTGTGTTTTAGTGGAAGAAGATAAACTGGAAGACGAGATGGAATTTTCATTATGTTGAATTAAATAAATAACAAGAATAAAGCCGAGATAAAATAGGGCTGTAAAGGCAAATACACGTTTAAATAGCGAGGGAGCTTTGCCAATGAACGATCTAAATGATAAATATGCAACTATTGCGCTAAGTTATTGGTATTTTAGACAAGTTCTACATGTACCTGATTCTCAGTTCAGCCGATATGTTAGGTAAGCGTTCATATCTGAGATTTTCTCAGATTTATTTAAGGGTAACTACCCCCTCCCTCTTTTATCATCTTGTTACCAAATGCGGAGCACACGTCTGAGTTCAAATTTATACGAGAAATAGCACATCGAAAAAGAAAAGCGATGTATTTTTGCCCAGAATTTTCTGATATGTTCTTCTATGGGTTTTCTGGAAAACTCCGGTTTCATCCAGTCACATCACGACTGGAAAAAATGGTCCAATCGAGCTCACATTTTTACCACAGATACTTTAGGTCCAAGTCAAGTTCTAAATTTTTTTTTCGAACACTTTTCTTTTTGAGATATTGAAATGCTAAAAATCCTGCATAAAGAACTGGTTTTTGATTTTAAAAACTTTCTCACACCGAAAGTTGAAGCCGAAAACGCTTAAAAAAATTTAGAACCTGAGACAGAGTCTGAAGTATCTGTGGTAAAAATGTAAGCTCTATTGGACCATTTTTTCAAAGGGTCGTAATGTGACTGGATTGAAGGGACTGTCAGAAAACGCGTAGTGAGAATACGAAAGGAGAGAAAATTTACGAACGTAAAAAATCGAGATTTTCCAGGCTTTGAATCAAAAAGTTCATAATTTTTTCAAGGAAGGTTATGGAGAACTGGGACTAGTCTCATTTTATAGTCCGGACTTTTCTCTTCATTAGACTATATTCAGCTCAAAATGGAAACTTTCCTGCAAAAAAGGGTGAGGGGGGACCACTAACTATGAAAAAGAATATAGTAGAGATGGATATATCCCATAAAACATCTCCGGTCCTTTCTCCTTTCTAGCATATGGCGTGCATTCCTTGCTATTAAGCAAATAACAGAATTTCACAAATTCTTTGTGCAAAGATATGAGATCAAACATTCGCTCGATAGGCTATGCTCGGCTTACAACCCTTTTCAGCAAATGCCAGATATCTCAGATAATAGCGACGCTTACAGAAGAATATTCTATGGTTAGACGATATTGCGGTAGAATAAGATTCGCAGATGTGACACGACGTCTTGATTGATCTGTCGTATGTCAGGTGCTTGATAAATAAGGAGATATCTTTTTTGCAGCTGTTTTGTCTGACAAATTTATATCTCTTTCTTGATGTTATATCTGTTGGTTCTGTTCAAAACTGAACAATGTTTCCAGAAGACAGAAACATCTTGTTCCTACTTCATGTTTCCATCCATTGAGACAATACATCACAGAATCTACTGACTGTACTTTTTACATGGTGAAAATAACGTTGTGTGATTGTTGATTTTTCACATTATTAGAGCGTTAAAAATAAAATTGTTAATCTAATAAGCTATTTATTTTCTTGATTAATTTTTGCTCATTAATTCAATATTATTGCGACCTCATACAACACTGAAGAGTATTCAAACTTTCTTATGAATACTTAGTTTGCACTCTCTAAAAAAACTAGACAGTTTAAAAAATCCGAACGGTTTTTTATTCTTGTTTCTAAACTCAAAAGGGTATAGTAGCACATTTAAGAAACCACTTGAGAGTTTTGTATCGTTACTAAACCGTTTTGGTATCGTAAAATCCTTTTTGGAAAAGTATTTTAAGAAAATAAAGGGTTTTTCATCAATGTCACAAAATTCGAAAAAAGATATTCTATTTTCGTTACTAAACCCAAAGGATTGACACATAAATCCTTTTAGTACTTTATAGAGCTAAAAGGATTTTGTGAGAAAAGTAGAGGGATTCTATAGATACCAAAAATCCCTTGGATTTAGTGAACTTTACTTAGTTCTTGACTCGATGAATACTAAAAAACCAAAATGATTTTCCATTTTTGCTGCTAAATCCCAACGGTTTTTCAATTCAACTCCTAAAACATTTTGATCATGAACTAAATAACGTTTACTAAACCCAAGGGATTTTTAGTACTTATAAAATTCATCTACTTTTCTATCGATGAAGCATTCCAAGCATTCCTTCCATTTCTTCTTGAATTGACAACTATCTTCAAAAAGTAAAAGGTTAGAAAGAACTGAAAACTCAATTCGTTTCCTTTCTCGATATAAGAACAGAATCGTTAAATGCCCAAGTTATAAGCAAACTATGTTTAGTTAATTTAGAATACGGCTTATTTCGAAAAAACGTAATCGATTGAATGAAAGTTTTAGGGACATGCAGGTGCAAATCAAGATGTTTGATTGTCTTTTCTGTTGTAGATTCTGGTTAACGTCATCGAGATATCTGAAACAACAGTAGTCTCTTTGTTTTAAAATAGTAAATATCCTGATAATGGTAGCGACAATCAAAACAAGCAATAGAGATTCACAAATCTCGATTTGTGTCTGTTTCTCTAAAGACTTTTATCCAGTCAATTACATTTTTCACTCGCAACAAGTGCACAAACAAAACGTAGACTAATTCTTTATAATTTTATTTTTCCTTGACCATTATTTCACTCGGTTGACTTTTTTTCGGTCAGAAAATTTTTTTCAACCTCTGCTTAACATAATTGACCTCTAGTTTTTTGTCCGTTCTGTTGAAAGCAAGGAATATGCCAGAAAGAACAAAGGAAAAGATGTTTTACCTGATATGCCCCTAACAAAATCAAAGCAATTAAATTTGACTCGTCGCATGCAAAGCAGAAAGCGACCGGTCAATAATGGAGGGGATATACTGTAAGAAGATTTGCATAGCATAGAAAATGGCAGAAAAACTTACCTATATTTGTTTCACAGAGACAGAAGTGAACTTGAGAAAATCAGAAAGATTTGAAAGTTAGCTGATACGTACTTGAGTACTCTGTTAAATTTGGCCATGCTTATATAAATAAAATTGACAATAAACAATTCACCAAACGTGAACACGTCTGACTCTGACCTTGAATTTGTCAAATATGTTGCTGCTTCACTGTTCTAACTGTTTTTATTAAAACGAGACGATCATGCATGTACTGTGTGATTACTTCGAACCATACAAAAGACGACAGACTTTTTTCTTCTTTCACATGTATAGATGTATAACGGTCAGATATGAACAGATAATATATCATTCGAAAGAAATGTATACAGTCAACAGTCAAAATAAGTTAACAGAAAGAGGGTTTTTAAACACATTTTTATCAGGAAAAAAAAACGCTTGATATCAAAATGCACTCACTATTGAGCAAAAAGTTATAACTTTCTAGACAGTAGAACAATTAAATTGTTAACGTTTATCTTGAACTTTCTTTCTCAAAAATGCTCGACCCTTTTTTTCTAAAATATGTTTGCGATGATAATGGCAATAATGCTAAACGAAAGTGATCAGATTCTAAAAAATCTTTATACAGCAATACAAGTCTGATTGATTGAAACTAGTCGGACAATAGTTTAAATTTGTCAACTAAAAGTAAAGATTTGCAAGCTTAATTGTGGCTATTTGCGTCATCTCAGGCAGACATTTTTTTAGACCAAACGCACTGCTAAACGCCATTTTTTGCACTAAAAACGTGTCTGAACGCGTTTTCTTACAACTGAAACGCGTTTGGACGCGTGAATCGGTGACAAATGCGTTTAAATACGTTAGAATCAAACGCGTTTAGCTGCGTCAGAAACTGACGCGCTAAACCGCTTTGAAAATAAACTCATTTTGCCGCGTTCAAATGACTAACACGTTCGAACGCATTCACGTTAAGCGCGTTTGGACGCGTTAATGTCTCCCAAACGCATTTGAACGCAACAGAAACAAATGCGTTTAGGTGCCTTTACTAACTAACGCATTTCGCATCGTAATTCGATACCTTTAACGCAGCTGAACGCGTTTGGCAGCATTTCGTAGATGCTGCTGCTAAACGCGTTATAATCTAACGCGGTTCACGGGATTTAA